TTTTCATTCTGATTCCACTTAAGACATGAACCCAGAATTTTCTATTTGCCTCTGTTCTGTGCTCACTTACGTAATTTTCACATGGGTAAGGAACAGTGTGATCTTGTTTTAAATTATATAAATTACAATCAGGATGACTGCTGTCAATAGCAAATTAAAAATTAATACAACAAGGCTAATGTGCAACTAGGACCCACTGAAACACATAGAGCAAGCAAGGCAACATTAGCAGATAGCATGATTGCATAGAAGGGGAAAGTGGTGTCAGAGTTCAGACTGGCACACACAGTTATCTAAGGCAAAGTGGTGTCAATGGCAAAGAAGTGATCCATTCTTCATTATATACACAAGAGCAGAGGATTTGTGGGAACCTGTGCAAGAGCTTCTATCACATAGCTCTCCCCAGCTGCCTACAGGGAATATCAATAACAGTTCACCTTCATTTTAAAGAATGACTCTCTGCTTATAGGCTGAACTATACCAAGGACTAACTCCATGCTAAATGTCCCTGGTTACAGTACAACCAATACCATCATTCCTAATCAGACTGGCAAACAGAATTTTAAGTTTTTTTAAGGTCATGAAACAATTTAGATGACTGTATTCCAAGGTGGTTTTTGGTGGGTTGTTTTTTTTCAGGACTGACTTTGGTTTCTCCCGAAGGAAGTAATATGGAGTTTTTATTGGTGATTCTAAGTATATGTTTGTAACAAAGTGTAATACGTGAATTTAACATATTAAAAGTTCTATAGCATCGGTTCAGAAAAGATTATATACTATACAAACTATTCAAGTCATACAAAACCATTTTTCAGTGCCTTTCAACTGAGAAGAATCCTATTCAGCACGCTTCTCCTCCTGAGGTGGTTCATACTGGGCAAGCTTTGTTTTCAATTTTTTGTTTTCTTCTACAGTAGCTTCATATTTCTCTTTCATTTCTGCCAATTCTAGGCGGAGTAGTTCTGTTTCTGGATTTTCTGGGGTTGCAGCTCCTAAATGATGCTTTAAAAAGTCCAAAGCACTGTTTGGTTTCTCTGGTTCTTCATATAAGGCTACCAACACCTTTGTCAGCGTGTCCAGAACCCCCGACTTCTCTAAGTACCTCCGGAACTGTTCGCGCTTCGAGTCTGCGGCTTTGTAATGGGCCATAGTGACAGCGGCAGCGGCGGAGCTGGCACCGGAGACAGTGGCTGGCGGGGCCGGAGGAAACGACTTTTAAGCACTATCTGATTTACTTACAAAATCAAAAGACAAATTGCATTGGGAAAGTCGGCTGTCAGAGACCTCTCCAGAGTACTGAAGAGCAACAATGTTAGTCTGGTGACTAAGGTACCCTTGATAAAGGCCATGGTCTTTGCAATTACTTGCTATACATTGGAATTCTGGGCATTGACTAAGGATGTTAGAAGGAGAATTGATGCCTGTGAGCTGTGGTGCTGGAAAAGAGTATTGAATATACTATGAACTGCTAGGAGAAAAGATTCGTAGTAGAGAGGGTGAGACTAGGCTCCTCCTGGGAGGGAAGGATTCTGAATCTTCATCTGACATACTTTGGACATATTGCAAGGAAGGGTCAGTCCTTGGAGAGGGATGCCATGTTTGGGAGGGTGAAGGAACAACTCAAACAGTGGAAGACCCTCGATAAGATGAATTGATTCTGTGACTGGGGTAGTAGGGTAGGTATATCAGAGACAGTAAGATTGGCACAGAATAGAGCATGATTTAGGGCTGTTGTACATAGGGTTACTATGAGTTGCAGGCAACTCGACAGCACATAGCAACAATCTGACATACTTAGGGGATGTTGCCAGGAGGGACCAGTCCTTGGAGAATGACATCATGCTTGGCAGGATGGAGGGACAGTGGAAAAGAGGAAGACTCTGGATGAAATGGATTGACTCAATGATTGGAGAAATTTGAGACAGTAAAATTGGCTCAAGATAGAGTAGGGTTCAGAGCTGTTGTACACAGGGTTGCTGTGTGTTGTGACTCAACGGCACCTGACAACAAAAACAAGTACATAGTAAGAGGTTGACTGGTGGTGGTGGTGGTTTAGACATGATCATTAGTTCATGGTAATTAATATTATAAAACAAAATGTATGAAAAATAATAATTGATAAACCTTAACTCTAATAATAAATCAGTTAATTTGTATTTTAAGGAAAGGTTTGCATGCAGATAGTATCATTCTTGGATGGTTAATAGGTAGAAGAAAGGAAGGAAAGGGGAGTAAAAAAAAATAATAGATTAGTTGGGCAAAAGAAAAGGCAATATGCAGTTAAAAGTTGTTGAACATTGTAAATAATTATATTTATCCACTATAACCAATATATGTGATTAATTATATTAATAAATTATAATTGCTGTTATAAAAAACTAATGTTAGTGATTTGAATAAGAAGGCAATGATTTGTAAAATTTCACTCAGGTTAAAAAGAAAGAAAAAACTTGAGAAAAAGTAGGCGCCTTCAAGCATCCTAGAAAATTTCTATTAAAACACAAACTGACCCTTTAGAAAGTTGTCCTTATACCTTGAATACTACACCAGGGATCACCTCCCATCCAACATTAAAGAAAAAAGAAAACAAAAACCCACACACATATGCCACGAAGTTGGTTCTGATTCCTAGCAGCTCTGTTGTTGATTGCCCTGTAAAAAAAAGGCCTGAAGCCTTTCTAGAACTGTAGTCTTTTATCAAAGTTGATAGAGTTTCCAGAGGCTTGTTGTTGTTTAGGAAGTGGATGCCACTCCAGCTAGCAGCTCTAGAGGGCAGAATAAAAATGCCCTTTTTGGTTTCCTGGCTGTGCTCTTTGTGGAAGCAGATCACCACAGCTTTCTCTTAATAAATCGTGGTGAGTTCGAATTGCTGACTTATATGAGTTACCTGTCACTCTTACTACTTCACTACTAGTAGGCATAGCTAGCACTCCCTCTCCTAACAACAGTCAGGCCTATAAAAGTGAACATTAATATCTGTGAGAAACATACATAATCAGGAAAATCAACCATATGAGAACCTAAAAGGACATTTGTCCAAAAACAAAAGTTAAATGGTAGGAAGATTTACACCCTCAGAAACCGTAAGAAAGCTTTCTCAATGACAAGACTAACTCAGCACATTGCCTTTTGAGGAATGATGGGTGGTATTTGGATTAGGATTGCATTATATCTGTAGACTGGTTTGGAAGCAGGAGTGGCATCCACTTCCTAAATAACATGCCTCTGGAAACGCTAATGAACTTCCATAAATGTCGATAGTTGTAGAGAGACTTCTGGCCTTTTGTTCATAGGGTCGCTGTGAGTTGTTCTCGACTTGAAGGCAGTCAACAATGTTGTCATTTTTATGGTATCAATCAGTCCTGGTATATCCTATTGTCTGTTGGTCTTTTGTAGTGTTTCATAGTTTTATTTGTATCTTTTGTATCTCTGGTTAGATTTATTCCTAAATTATCTTTTTGGTGGTTAGTGTTGTTACTGTAGAGGAATCTGATTATTTTATGTTGATCTTCTAACCTGTCACAGTTGAATTAGTCAATTAAATCCAGCAGTTTTCTTGCTGAGGCTTAGGATTTCCTATATATAGGATGATTTTCTTTGCAACTGGAGTTTTATTATGAGTCTCAAGTCAAAAGTTATGTAACTGCCAGCCCTGGTGGCATAGTTTGTAATGTAGTGGGTCATAGATTGACTCCACCAGCACTTCTAAGGCAGCTGAAGATGGATGTTGTTGTTTTTATGTGCCGTCGAGTGCCTTGTGAATCATAGTGACCCTATGTACAACAGTCCTAAACTCTGCTCTGTCTTGTGCCAATTGCACTGTCTCTGACACTCCCATCCCGATAACCCCAGTCACCCAATCAATCCACCTCGTAGAGGGCCTTCCCCTCCTGCGCTGTCCTTCCACCCTACCCAGCATGATGTCCTTCTCTAAGGACCGGCCTCTTCTTACAACATGTGCAAAGTATGTTAGACGGAGCCTCAGAATCCTTGCCTCCAAAGAGCCACCCGGTTTAACCCTTTCCAGGACAAATCTGTTTGTTTTCCTAGCAGTCCATGGTATTCTCAATACTCTTCTCCAGCACCACAGCTCAAATGCATCAATTCTCCTTCTATCCTCCTTGGTCATTGTCCAACTCTGTGATGCATAACAAGTGACTGCGAAGACCATGGCCTGTATCAGACACACCTTGGTCTCCAGAGATACACCATTGTTCTTCAGTACTTTGGAGAGGTCCCTAACAGCGGACTTTCCCATGGCAATATACCTTTTAATTTCCTGGCTACTAGTGCCAAGAGTGTTGACTGTGGAGCCAAGCAAACTAAAGCTGTGTACAATCTCAATCTCTTCACCATCCATCCTGATGCTGCCAGTTGGCCCAGTGGTGAGAATCTTTGTCTTCTTGACATTGAGCCTCAGTCCATATTGGAGGCTACAGTCCTTGACACTCTGCAGCAGGCATTTCAGGTCCTCCTCAGTTTCAGCAAGCAGAGTTGTGTCATCTGCATCACGCAGATTGTTGATAAATCGTCCACCACTCTTGACCCCACATTTCTCCTCATGGAGCCCAGCCTCCTGGATGATATGTTCTGCATACAGGTTGAAAAGGTATGGAGATAAAAAAAAAAAGGTATGGAGATAGGACGCATCCCTGCCGTACACCCTTCCCAATTTTGAACCATGCAGTGTTCCCGTGCTCTGTTCTGACGACTGCCTCCTGGCCCAAATACAGGTTTCGCATTAGAACTATCAAGTGTTCTGGCATTCGCATTCTTCTCAGAGTCAGCCACAGTTTGTTATGATCCACACAGTCAGGTGCCTTTGCATAATCAATGAAACACAGATAGACATTCCTCTGGTATTCCCTGCTTTCAGCTAAGACTAACATCAGCTACAATATCCCTAGTACCACGACCCCTTCTAAACCCAGCCTGGACTTCTGGCAGTTCTCTGCTGATCTGCTGTTCCAGTCGTCCTTGGATAATCTTCAGTAGAATCTTACTTGCATGTGAAATCAATGAGATTGTTCTGTAGTTTCTACACTCTTTTGGGTCACCTTTCTTTGGAATGGGAACAAATATAGATCTCTTCCAGTCAGTTGGCCAAGTGGTTGTTCTCCGGATTTCTTGGCACAACTTGGTGAGCACATCCAGGGCAGTATCTGTTAGCTGAAATATGCCAGTTGGTATACCATCTATTCCTGGGACCTTATTTTTTGCCATTTCTTTCAAAGCAGCCTGAACTTCTTCTTTCATCACCATAGGCTCTTGCTCATATGTTGTTTCATGAAATTCTTCTGTGTCTTCCAATTCCTTCCGATACAGTGACTCAGTATATTCTTTCCATCTTCTTTTAATACTTCCTGGATGATTTAATATTCTGCCTAAAGCATCGTTGATTATAGCAACTTGTGGTTTGAATTTGTTCTTCACTTCCTTGAGCTTTAGAAATGCTGAGCAAGTTAGGCCCTTTTCATTTTCTGACTCCCAACTCCTTGCACATTTCATTGTAACATTTTACTTTGTCATCGCGTGCTGCCTTTTGAAATCTTCTATTCAACTCTTTAGTATCTTCAATTCTTCCTTGTGCTTTGGCTTCTCTATGCTCCAGTGTAATTTTCAGGGTCTCTTTTGGTTTTTTCTTCCTCTTCTGTCTTTGTAATGACTGTTTGCACTCTTCCTGAATGATACCCTTGATGTCCTCCCATAACTCGTCAGGTCTTCACTCATTAGTGTTCAAGTCCTCAAACCTGTTCCTGAGATGGTTCTGAAATTCAGGTGGGATAGACTCAAAGTCATATTTTGGTTGCCTTGGATTTGGTGTGAAGGTGGATAGATTCCCATAAATATTTACAGCCTTGGAAAGCCACTAAGAGGGCCACTATGAGTTGAAATAATTTTATTGTGCTGGATATTATAACCATAGAAGAGCCTTGATGACACAGTGGATTAAATTTTGGCCTACTAATTGTTAGGCCAGTGATTTGGACTCTACAGTTGCTATGAATGAGAAAACCCAGAGAGTCTGCTATTTTAAAGATTTATAGTTTCAACCCATGAAGAGTTGTGTTCTCCCCTGTAGAGTTACTGTAAGTCAAAATCAACTTGACAGCAGTGTAAATTGTTAAACTTTTATGAGATCACAAATG